TGGGGAAAAACTTCCTCTCAGGAAAAGAGAAAGAGGCAGCCAAGAACCGGGCTCCTGCTCTGTCCGGTCCCGGACCAAACCCCAAAAGTCCCCAAACAAAGGACACCCCAGCTGACCTTGTGGCCACCGTGCTTCCCCGCAAGACCTCCCCCTCTCTCCGCTCCTGTGCTGCCCCCCGCGTGCGGCCCTGCCCCCTCCCCCCTCCCCGACTCTCCCCATTCCGGAAGAAATAGTTGGGGGGGATGGGGATGGGACCCTAGGGAAGAGAAAGAAAATTCCAACATTTCCTTTCAACCTATGATGCCAATATACTCAGCAATAACATGCACATGTACGGTGGATGCTGTTAAAGCCTGGAGGCCAGAGGTACCTGTAGTAGCACTTCACAGGGTAAAGATAATTGACTGCAGTCATGGGGGATTCTGTAGCAGGATGTTCTAACCCAATAATACCTAGATCAGAGAATGCAAACAATACAAGCTCTCATACAACTTCTGCTGGCACCAGGGTGCTGTTTTGGTGTTGAATTGTGCTAAAACCAGCCTGGTTCACCAAACCTCAAACACACATCCTGCTTTTTGAAGCAGCATTTGACAGATAATCTTCTCACTGGCCTGTAAATCTGTGACTACCAGTCCATCACTTTATAACTATAAAAGCCCAGTCCAACTTTCATATGGCAGAGTTTTCCACAGACTTCCTTGAACTGTGGAACTTCTCCCATGAAGCAGGGATGTCTCTTCATGGTCATCCCCCAGGGTATGTTGTGCTCGTCACTGGGCACTGGCAGTTCCAGGGGGAACATGGGCTGTGACATCATGGCTCTGGGAGCTGTGGGATCACGTGAGTTCTGGGGCCACTCCACAGTGGGGGATGGAGACCATACAATGATGGAATCCTGGAATGGTTTGGCTTAGCAGGGACCCTAAAGATCATCTCATTCCAGCCTGAGCAACCTTCCACCAGACCAGGCTGCTCAGGGTCCCATCCAACCTGTCCTTCAGTGTTCCCAGGGATGGGGCATCTACAGCCCCTGTGCACAGCCTGTGCTAGGGCCTCTCCACCCTCACTGGAAAGAAACATCTTCCTTAGATCTCACCTAAATGGATCTCCTCCAGTTCAAAGCCATCCCCCTTCTCCTGTCTCCACAGGCCCTGCTGAATACTATCTCATCTTCTGGGCCCCTTCAGGTCCTGCCTGGCTGCACTGAGGCCTACCCAGGGCCTTCTCTTCTCCAGGCTGAGCAACCCCAACTCTCTCAGCCTTTCCTCAGAGCAGAGGTGCTCCAACCCTCTGATTGTCCTTGTGGCCTCCTCTGGATGGGGCCAACATGCTGGAAACAGAGCTGGGATGCACCTGCATCACCGGTGTGATCCCAGCTGCACCCACTGGTGCCAAACAGGGGCTGTGGCCATGCCCCAGGGCCTCCCTGGTGCATCCATCAGTGCTTT